ATAGAAACACCAATTTGAGATGCAATGGCTAAAATATCAGCACAGGATACAACTCCAGGGCAGACATTCTCTAGTGCTGCCTTGATGTCGTCAACAACGGCATATCCATCAGTCGTTTGGTTAGGGGCTTCATCCTTCTCACTGTCTATCCCATTTGCAGCATCATCATCCAAAAGAAGTGATCCATCACACCCCTGAAAATGATAACATTAATCATTAGTAGGTACTTTATGGGAACAGAATTCAAACTTGGGAATATTATTAATTAGTGGGACTGATAATTTAAACTTTTGACTAATAAACACATAATACACATATGAATACATTTTCAAAGATATGGTAACTTACATTGACCATGCAATCGTGAAAATGAACGCGAATGAGTCTAATTCCTATGCGATTCATTTGTGACACTGAAGTCTTTATATAGAAATTATATTCATGATGGATTGCAACCGAAAAAGAAAGAAAAAAAAAGGTAAAATGACTGAGAAATTTCTTCGCTTTACCTTTGCTTTTTCCTTCCATAATTCCATTCATAGAAAAACTTCGTAATTATGATCATGATCAAGCCATGAGATTCAACATTTTATAATGTTAAACCCTAAGAAATGTAAAGTTTTTCAATTAATGGACGGTGGAATTCGATGAAATTGCGAGTATTCTTGACTTTTTTTGCGTGAAGTGTATGCTAACTCACGAATTTGTTTGAATTGAATTGGTTGGAATTGCTTCTTACTTCACTTCGTTGTCTACTAATTTAGGATACAGTGGAGATGTAGTGTGCTGGAGATGATACGAGTATACGACTTCAGTTTAATTTGTCCTTCAATCAAGTACTTTTAAAGTATAAGATTTGAAATTAAAAATTATAAATTTAAATTTTAAGACAAGTAAAGAAAAATTAAAGAAATGAGAGCAAATATCTTTTATTATATAATCATCATGATATACTAAAAAAATTATAGATAATTCAAGATTCACCAATTTAACTTTATATATTTCTAGAGA